TAACTGCTGGCCTTAAATTGCAGAGGAATGATAGATAACAGCAATGGACTCAGAGTTGATTGAGCTAATTCTGATCAGCTGTTCTGGAACCGAAAAACTCGAGTTTCGAGTTTCCAAGCTCAGGCTCAGTCAACAAGGAGATTGGAATTAGGTTCAGAGTTTGTTGAGCCTGCTTTCTGAAATAGGGCTGATCATATGTCAGGCATCCATTCAAAACCCCATTCAAAAAACTCCACTGATGGGGCGTCGGTGGCTTAGTGGTAGAGCAGGCGCCCCATATACAAGGCTGTTGCCGCAGCAGCCCCTCTCTCTCTCTCTCTCTCTCTCTCTCTCTCTCTCCCCCTTTCACCCTTGGCTGTCCTATCTATTAGAGGCAAAATGCCCATAAACATATCTTAAAAAAAACAAACAAAAAAACTCCATTGACTTTGAGACAAGGGAACGGGAAGTGCTAAATCTGGCAGCACTCTATTGAGTGTGTGTTATAACTTTGACCTGCCAGTGGACGGCGGATGAAAACGCACTTTAAGATAACTTTGGTACAATACATGAATGGCATGAACATTTTTGTTTAAAGGAATATTCAGGAAATGCATCTATCCATCTGAAGCTGGAGCCAGGAGGTGCTTAGCTTAGCTTAGCTTAGTTTGAAGGCAGAGGGGAGTAGTTTTAGAATATTTCCCAAGAGGTTAAAGTATTTCAGGTGTCAAAAATTAGTATCGCTTTGAGTTTTAACCACAATAAAAATGTATATGGGAAAATCCTCCTTGGTTTATTGAGAAGTGAAAGCATACAGTGCCATCATTATGAAACTGCTGGAAGCTGGTGTGTTGTGGTTAATCAGTGTCATCGTGATATAGGGTAAATTCAGTGCAGAAAATTGAACATATGCCATTTGTCCATCTGTTTGACACCTCCTCACTCAGCTGGTGGAAGAGCGAGTATCACCTGCTTTGGAACACGATCTTAAGGGAGCACGAAAAGGAAGTTAACTCAACAGGAACATCTATTTTTCAGCCAACATGCATCACCCTGGTCATGACATTCCTCATAAAGTTATTGAGCTAATAACTAACGCTGTGAGTACGTTCCTGCTGATCGTCCTCTTCTACATCCTGCAGTACCTCTTTGACATGAACTTTGTGTGCTCGTGCATGGATGGCTTTCATTGCAATGGTGTACTGTACTTGCTCATCCCTCCTGCGATCCTCACCTGGATTGTCGAAATCATCGAGTCTTTCCAACCAAGGAGGAATTTTTCCAGATGGCATAGTCTTTGTCAGAGCAGTGTCTTTGGCTATCTTGCTAAGTTGACGATCAGCTATGTCTGTCTGACTGATATATGGATAGCCACTGTGCTGTTTGATGGAGACTGGTACTTTTGCGTCAAGACAAACCTCAACTCTTCTCACACTGGACTTCCTTGCAAAGACACGCTGAGCTTCAAGGAAAACCTCACCAAAGCTGCTTATAAGTCTGAATCTCTTGTAAGTAACGACACACAACACTCAAATAAACTAAACCAAAATAGTTTGGGAAATTGACTTGTTTTATGTCTTAATACAAATGTATTTTTTAAAACTCTAAATATAGTTGGTCTTAAATTTTGTTTGCATGTTGCTTAACACTTTACAGCGTTCCCACAGTCATGGAAAACCCAACACAGTCTCAATTCGACCTTGTCACATATCGATGTTTGCTCATGGACTTTCCAAAGTTGGTGTTTGTTGGTATCATAACAGCCTGTCACAGGTTACAGCATGATGATTAGAGGAGAAATGGCAGAGCATAAAGGTCCAGGTGGGAAAAAAAACGAAAAGAGAAGGAAATCACCTGTTGATTTATATACAGTATATAGATCCCAGGGGACATTTTTTGTTTTTGGGGAGCTGTTTAATTGTGTAATTTGTGGTAGATTTTATTTTGTTGAACTATTCAGACTGCTGCAATTCCAGCTGAAGTATTTTAAGCCAAAACATGATCTTTTCAATGTATCTGATACATAATAACTCACAGCTAACAAATCTGTGGTTCGCAGAAACACGTAGTACCATGGTATGAACAGTTTTTCTGCCAATTGAGTTGATAAATCTCAGTTTAATTGTGCCTTTTTTCCTTTCCAGAAATTTGGCTTTTGCGTTATAGGTCCTCTTATTGGGGTTTGGATCATTGCTGAACTCACAACAGCCTGTTGCAGAGGAAAGATGGTATGGCGCTGTTCCAATCCTCCTCACTACAGAGTGGTTTATAAAGATCTTCTGGAAGAGGAAGTGAGTCGCTGTTTGCAAGATGAGCTAACAACATTAGCAACAGAAAGAGCAAAAGCAATCTGTGCGCCCCACCTTCAAGCTATCAAGGAGCATGGGCTGTCATTTAATAACACAAGTGCTGGCAATGACAATGTTGACGGCACACTTTCAGAAGCCTGGCAGACAATTTCAGCCTCTGATTTCTACTTGATGGAACCTGAGAGACAAGAGGAATTACGTGGCTGAAGTGTCAACACAGATATCTCCATTGGGGACGATAAACTCTGCTGAGCAAGAACATCCATGAAAAAAGACGGTTTGATAGTATAACTATACTCGATTATCCTTATTATTGACTGATCCATCGTTTGTACAGTTGCAATCAAAATTATTCAACCCCCATTGCATATTAGGCTTATTGGCAAAATGTACAATTTTTCAGCTGTTTGCAATAAACAAAGTAGACAAGAACAGTTGAAATAGTTTAATAAAACTAATATTACCATGGGTTTTTATCCAAATTCAACGCAAAATGCTACTTTTAATCACTACTGCAGTCTCAAAATTATTCAACCCCCTGTCTCAAGCACACCTGATGCAACTAATCAAAATTATTCAACCCCCTGTTTCAAGCACACCTGGTGCAACTAATCAAGGGCTTCATTAGTTCAGGTGTGCTTGAGACAGAACACATAAATACCTGGACTGGCCAGGGGTTTGTTGAGAGTGATGTTTGATTGCATGTTAGAAATATGGCTAAGTCAAAAGAATTGTCCAGAAAGTTCAGAGAAGAAATCATTGCCTTGCACAAACAAGGAAAAGGATACAAAAAGATAGAAAAAGCTCTGAATGTTCCTAGAGATACAGCTGGAAGCATAGTTCGCAAGTTCAAAGTTAAAGGAACAGTGGCCACACTACCTGGACGTGGCAGAAAGAGGAAACTATCAGCGGCTGCCACCAGATTTCTGAGGAGGCAAGTGGTCAAAAACCCTTGAGTGACTGCAAAACACCTGCAGCAAGACTTGGTGGCAGCAGGCACTGAGGTTTCAGTTTGCACAATAAGGCGCATACTAAACACTGAAGGGCTCCATGCCCGGACTCCAAGACGTACACCACTACTGACCCAAAAGCACAAGAAAAGTCGGCTCCAATATGCTCAAAACCATATAAATAAGCCACAGAAGTTTTGGAATTCTGTTCTGTGGAGCAATGAAACAAAACTGGAACTTTTCGGGCCTATGGAACAGCGGTATGTCTGGAGGAAGAAGAATGAAGCATATGCTGAAAAGAACACCCTGCCTACAGTGAAGCATGGCGGTGGCTCAGTGATGCTCTGGGGCTGCTTTGCTGCCTCTGGCACTGGAAACCTGCAGCGTGTGGAGGGCACGATGGATTCAGTCAAGTGTCAGGAAATCTTAGGTAAAAACGTCATGTCGTCTGTGAGGAAGCTGAAGCTTGGGCGTCATTGGACCTTCCAAAAGGACAATGATCCCAAGCATACCTCAAAGTCCACCAAGGCTTGGTTTCAGAAGAAGAAATGGAAGATTCTAGAGTGGCCGTCACAGTCGCCTGACTTGAACCCCATAGAAAATCTCTAGTGGGATTTGAAGAATGTGGTTGCAAAACGCACACCCAAGAATATTACTGAACTGGAGGCCATTGCCCATGAGGAATGGGCTAAGATTCCTCAGGAACGCTGTTTGAAGCTGGTGTCTGGCTATGCATCACGTTTGCAGCAGGTCATAACAGCAAAAGGGTGCTCTGCTAAGTACTGAAGATGCTTGTCATGAAGGGGTTGAATAATTTTGAGACTGCAGTAGTCATTAAAAGTAGCATTTTGTGTTGAATTTGGATCAAAACCCTTGTAATATTAGTTTCATTGAACTACTTAAACAGTTCTTGTGTAATTTGTTTATTGCAAACAGCAGAGAAATTGTATATTTTGCCAATAAGCCTAATATGCAATGGGGGTTGAATAAATTTGATTGCAACTGTAGGTAAAGGACATTTCTGATGTCCTTCCCTCTCTGTGGTCTACAACAGAGGCGGCGCTAGATGTTGTAAACATTCGGGTGCAGCCCAAACCTACTGTAGGGATGTTTGGGGATATGCTCCCCTGGTGTGATTTTTTCCCTTTGTGTTTCCTGTTGTTCCTTGTTAGTTAGTCTATGATCATTCCTGTGCTTATCCCTGTGTTTTTGGTGCCATTGCCTACTCTGTTTCCTGCCTAGTGTCTTGCATTCTGTTTGGATTTTTTACCTGAGTTCATTGTATTATCCTGGTTGGTTTTCAGTTAGTTTTGGTTCTTCTGTCATTTGGACTTTCTGTCACCTGCCTGTTTTGGATGTTCTTCATCAGCACTATTAAAGCTAACTTTTTGGTTAAAACTTCAAGCTGCCTTCTGATACTTCGCAAAAAGATGCAGGGCTTTTGACAAAACATTTGAGGCTAAAGCCCACAACCACCACCCCAACCCTGGTCTACAAATCCAAAATTCTGAAACAAAATTCCTTGGAGTTACTACTGATGACAAATTAAGTTGGAAATCCCACATAAATTATGTTAAATCAAAAATGTCAAAATCCATTGCAATTTTGTACAAAGCCCATGATTTCCTCTCTCAAAATTCACTAAATACATTATTTTACTCGATAATAGCTCCATATATGACATATTGTATTGAGGTCTGGGGAAGCACATACAAAACAAATACTAATTCTATATTTTTATTGCAAAAGAAAGCTATAAGAATTATCTGTAAAAAACGTTATCGCGAGCCAACTAACCCACTATTTATTTGCAAAAACATTTTGAAATTCACGGACTTAGTTGATTACATCACAATACAAACCATTTACAAAGTAAAAAATGAACTTCTGCCTCCACCTCCAAAAACTGTTTAAAATGAGAGACACCAGATATAATCTGAAGGGAACATTATTATTTGATAAACCAAAGACCCGAACTATCGTTAAAAATAACTGTTTCTGTTAAAGGGGTAAAGATCTGGAACAACTGTCCCGAAAGTATTAATTCATGCTGTACATTACACATCTTTAAAATACTTTATAAAAACTACATTATTTCTTGTTATGGTAAAGAAAATTAAGTTTACTGACTGTACTGTTATTTCCGAATTTGTGCACTGTGCGCTATTCGTTCTATTGTGTGATGGAAAATTTAAGTTTATTGATATGATTAATTTCAAATTCTTGCACGTTGCTCTTTTGTATTTGTATTGTTATGACAAGTATAACTTTGTAAGGTAAAAGGGGCAGGTGTTTATAAGCTTTAGCTTCTACCTATACCCTTTCAGTTACATTGATTATTGAAATATACTGAAATAAACACATTCATTCATTCTTTCATTCATTCATTCATTCAAATATGAAATTTACAAATCTTTAATCTCAAACATTTTCTCACAGATCCATCTCTGACTGGTGAAACAAGACAAATCATTCCAGTTCTCTCGATTATTCTCTCCAGATTTTATGACATGGGCACAGTCCTCTTCCCCAAGATTGGCATATCCACCTCCATTATCAGGCTGGTTTTTTTGCCAGTACCTAACAGGTCAACAAACAGACAATAACCACATTCTGAATGACACGAACACAGACTATTTTTTATGCTTTCACCCAAAATTGTGACCAAGTCTTAAAGCTGTGGTTGGTAACTTTTAATCAATAGATTCACTTCCTAGAGGCTGTAAAGTGTGTATTTACCCAAGCAGTTTGGGTTTCGTTGGCTTTTATTGTTTTTCAATTATTGTATTGTTTTATTATGCTGTTGTAACTGACATGTCACTGTCACAAAAAAATGTCTTAATAAAGATTTAAGTGAAAAAAAGTGAGTGATCTTAATATTTTTTCCACCACAGGTGTCAGTCAGGGGGGAAAATTACAATACAGCTGTTCAATGACATCCCCAAAGCTATGCAAGTTCAAATATATTATACTATGTACCTGAATCAGTCAACAGATCATTGCCTCCTGACTGTGGGTGGCAGATAGGAGCCTGAATAACAGAGCCATTGTGCCATCTGTTGGAATTACTGGGTAAAACATATCTCACCAAAGTGGTTGTTTGATTGCATTCTGTATATTATATAACAGTACTGGTATGTTTGTTCATGCAGCCAACGTAAAGCACACTTCTGCCTTACTTCAGAGACAGTGGAGCCCCATTAATCCATTTCCAGGTCCCCTCCTTGGCTTCGTCAGTCAGACCGATCCAGGCATGAGTTCCCTTCTCGGTGAAGTTAGAGAGGAACAGCTGTTCAATAAAAATAACACACAGTTTTTTATATTTTTGTTTTAATAATATATTGTATTTAAGATGTTGACTGTAAACAGTGCAAATTAAATTCAATTAAAATAAAATGTAGGTGATGGTTAAGGTGAAAAAGAAGCTGTTTATTATTCTGTCTTTGTGTTTAATAATCAGGTTTTTTAGCCATGCCACCGGGACGGCTTTAGAGACTGCAATGTCTGACCTCTTTGGTCCAGACCGATGGTTTGCTGCTATATTATTGCTCTACATGTCGCATATAAATATTTTGATGCTCATAGTGTTGTTCATTCATTCATTTTCCGTGACTGCTTATCCCATCGGGGATCCCGGGGAGGCTGGAGCCCATCCTAGCAGACATTAGCCGAGAGGCGGGGTTCACCCTGGACAGGTCACCAGACTATCACAGGGCTGACACATAGAGACAGACAACCATTCACACTCACATTCACACCTACGGACAATTTAGAGTCAACAATTAACCTGCATGTCTTTGGACTGTGGGAGGAAGCTGGAGCACCCAGAGAATGCCCACAATGACACAAGGAGAACATGCAAATTCCACACAGAAGGGCTCCACACAGAACCCTCTTGATATGAAGTGACGATGTGAACCACTTCACCACCGTGCTGCCCAACATGTTGTACTTTTACTTAAGTATCATTTTGACGGAAGGACATGTACTCGTAACAGAATCATGTATTTTACAGTGTTGTGTTGCTACTTTTACTCTTTCTCTTTCACACACACACACACACACACACACACACACACACACACACACACTACCTGTTCTTTATCACTGTCTATCACCACCAGATCTGCTCCTCTCTCCTTGCAGTCCTTTCTGGCTTCATCCCAGGAATGAGACTTATTAGAGAGGAAATAACAGGAACAACCGAACACCATCCATCCTGCAGGACACCTTCTCTCTATAAGAAACAATAAAAACTTAAAAAAAACAGACCAGAATAAGGTAGTGTCCAATGTATACATGCACATATCTAATTATTATTGTTGCAGGTACAGAGAAGGTAGTTAGAAAACATAACTGAGTCTTCCTGTCTCTGTCACTTTTTATTTTATTTTTATTTAACCAGGTATGTCCTGTTGAGATCAACAATCTCTTTTACAAGGGAGACCTGGCCAAGACTAAGATTACAGAGACAAGAATAAAAAAATGAAAATGCAATTGAGTCTCTGAAGGAGTTTTTTTATTTATGTACACAAATAACTCTCATGACTACAAGGTGTCTGGATTAACACCTGCCCTGCCTAAGGACAATATGTGATGAATTACTTTTCTTGCTCTGACCAGTCAAAATGTCTGCTGTGAGCAGGGTCTGTTAAAAACTCATCTGTTTATGGTAGATACATTTTGCACTTACTCAGCCAGTTCCGCTCTTTGGTCATTTCAATGAGGCTGACATTCAGCTGGTCTCTCTCTTCAGTCAGGGCAGACGACTTGTTGTAACTGACCTGGAGACGCTCAGTCAGGTTGGCTTTGATAGAGGAGAGCTCTGAGGCTGAACGCCGTGAGGAGTCATAGTCTAAAATAAAAGGACACACTTTTATACAGGATTACAACCACATGTCAAATAATTTAATACCCCCTCTTTCTCTATTGTATGTTACTATAGGGTGCCGTTCGTAAAGTGGCTCACACTGAAAATAACATCAACATTTTGCCACATTTAGCTTCAAACAATGTTTAAAAAAGTGTTGTGAATTTTTTAACGTCACCTTTTACCACATTTACAGCAATGTTTGTTAACTTAGAAATATATTAAATAGTTAAATCTAAATATTAAATGTGGCACCTAAATGTTAAATGTTAAATCTAAATATTAAATCTAAATCTAAATATTAAATCTAAATCTAAATGTTAAATCTAAATGCTACATCTAAATGCTAAATCTAAATCTAAATGCTAAATCTAAATCTAAATCTAAATGTTAAATCTAAATGCTAAATCTAAATCTAAATGCTAAATCTAAATATTAAATCTAAATCTAAATGTTAAATCTAAATGCTAAATCTAAATCTAAATGTTAAATGTTAATTCTAAATGTTCTGGGTGAAACTAAGTATTTAGCTAATATGCAAATTACACTGCCGGTCACCGGAAGTACCAAAATAAAAGCTCAAGATGGTCAGACTGTGTTTATAGAATTAAATAACAAATTAAAACCAACTTATCAGGGGAAATGAACACTTGAACACACATTAGCGTGATAATAACTACCTAAAATAACAAAAAACATGTTTGGAGAAAGTTTATTTGACGTGTACTTTGAGTTGTTAGTGTCCCTTCTATGGAGGGTGTGGGATTTATCACCTGTACTATAGGCAGCCACGAGGGAGCGATCGAGGTGTTTTGGCCAGCACTATCCTACCCCTGCCCCCACCCACCCACTGTCGGTGAAGTTGGTCACTTTCTCCATGCTCCTTGCTGCTTGCCAACATGTCGACATGTCCGATTTAGCGGAAAACTTTGGAAGTGCCGTTCTGGCGGCAATACAGAATTTTAGCAGTGCATCGACAGCGACAGTATCCGCCATAGAGCCTCCACAGTGGAGGCATAGAAGGGACACTAACAATTCAAAGTACACGTCAAATAAAATTTCTCCAAACATGTTTTTTGTTATTTTAGGTAGTTATTATCACACTAATGTATGTCCAAGTGTCCATTTCCCCCGATAAGTTGGTTTTAATTCGTTATTTGCTTCTATAAACACAGTATGACCATCTCAAGCTTTTATTTTGGTACTTCCGGTGACCGGCAGTGTTAATTTGCATATTAGCTAAATATTTAGTTTCACCCAGAACATTTAGATTTAACATTTAACATTTAGATTTAGATTTAGCATTTAGATTTAACATTTAGATTTAGATTTAATATTTAGATTTAACATTTAGATTTAACATTTAGATTTAGATTTAGCATTTAGCTTTAGATTTAATATTTAGATTTAGATTTAGATTAAGCATTTAGATTTAGATTTAACATTTAGATTTAACATTTAGATTTAGATTTAATATTTAGATTTAGATTTAGCATTTAGATTTAAAATTTTGATTTAGATTTAGCATTTAGATTTAACATTTAGATTTAGATTTAATATTTAGATTTAACATTTAACATTTAACATTTAGGTGCCACATTTAATATTTAGATTTAACTATTTAATATATTTCTAAGTTAACAAATATTGCTGTAAATGTGGTAAAAAATGACGTTAAAAAATTCACAACACTTTTTTAAACATTGTTTGAAGCTAAATGTGGCAAAATGTTGATGTTATTTTCAGCGTGAGCCACTTTACAAACAGCACCCCATATGTTACTTCCTCGCCTATAGTATATCTAACACACCATGCATGCACAGCCCAGTCACCAGAAAATTTAACACCTAAAATTTGCAAGTGGCTGCTAGATTTGCTTTAGTCACAAACCCCAAAAACACGATGGTAATCCACTGAATGGCTGGTAGATTTACTTTTAAAGGCAAGACAAGACACAAGAGAGATACAGAGACTTGCAGATGAACCCTGCAACCTGATCGCCAGAAAAAATCAGCATTTTGTAGAGGGTACGTTAAAACTCACGTTTCTCAAAAACACTGTTATGGTTTGGAAAAGATTATGTTTTGGCTGAAAACAGTCACGTTTGGTTGCACAAAAACTGAAAAAGCAGGGAGAGGTCGGTGAAAAAGACAAACAACAGGATGTGTTGGTCAAAAACTCCTCAGTTCTGGTAAGAAAAAAACACAGCCACCACTGGGAAACAACACTGTGAACCGTCTTGGTCAAATTCTATGTTCACAAAATACAAAAATTGTGTGTTTCATATGTGTTGAACCTTTTATAAATAAAATGACAAAGCTCCTTTGTGACTTCGAACAAATAAACAGAGACACAAGACCAAAACCAATTAAAGAATACATGAAGGAGACAATAAGAACATTAAGGCAGGACAGAAACTACACTGAACATCTTAATAATACAGGAGACTCACAGTGGACACCGAGGCCGATGAGCCCGGCCAGCAGGAGAACACTCAGCAGCCCCAGGCAGAGAACAACAGCTCCATAAAGTCTCCTCTCTGAACACAGAACAGTGAATACAGTCAGTAATACAACAGTAAGACCAGGTGATGATCATACAACAGATGATAATGTTCAGATCTTACCTGTGGGATCTGTTGAAGCTCTCGAGCCAACAGACTTGTTCGGTGCAACATTCATATAGATTTCCTCCATTGCTCTTAAAGTGACAAACTTAACCTACAGGGTCGGCTAGCTGCAGCCACACTGCACTTCACATTAATGATGTCTGTGTGATGTTGGTTTCAATTTCTCAACTTAATGCCTATACTGAGGAATTCACACGTTGCAGAGGTGCTAACAGTGGTTGCTAAGACAAACCACAATGTCAGACACACACGTTCACAGTTACAAAGGAACGATGCATTATTCATGAGAAATAACAATAATGCTAGCAGCAGTAACGTTAGCAGACTTGTTGCTCTCTGCATATTTTTTGCTGCTGAGGTTTGTTCACTTTCTTATTTCAAAAGCCTGAAAAATGCTCAGTGGTTTTATTTGCTCCTTTCGAACTACAAGATAAGTCATACAATTTTGTTAGCATCACAACTGACCTATGGCTAAGCTCCGCCCTCAAATGCAATGAGCCAATCACAGTGCGTATAGCCATTCTCATACACTCGGACATTCTCTGCCTGGACGTACATTGAAATGCATTACAGAAAGACAGTTTTGTTCGGTTTTATGAGCTTTTTCAGAGATTTGAAGTTTAAAAATGGTCAAACAATGTGCATGGGGTACATGCAACTCAGACACAAGGTATACTGAGAGGCTGGGCGACGAGGTGTATTTTTTACCCTTTAAACCACATCTCAACCGAGAAAAGTGTCTCCTTTGGATAAAGTTGTGTGGTAACGTTAGACCACAACATCAACTCAACGTGAATAAGATTAACAATGATGTCTACATCTGTTCTAAGGTAAGTCAACATTGTGTTTGAGGCAACAAATTGTCACTTTGGAAAGAAATATAAAGTTATCTTTAACATATCTAGCTAACGTTAGCTAAAGTTAGGCTAACGTTAGCTCCTAGCTGCGTTGTTCATCATGTCACCTTGTTTGCTGGGAGTTCATTAGCATATTTTGTTCTAGTTTTGTACTTTGGTGATCGTACATCATTGTTAGCTGTTGTCCAAAGGGCTCTAGTTAAGCTAACGTTAACTTCTGGAGCTTAGCTTAATTAACTTATCTGTAATGGCAGAGATAACAAAGGTTGGCAAACGTTATGCTGAATGATTCAGTGTAAATACTGTAGCACCAAACTAACGGAGAGACACTCTTGGTAAAGATGGTAAAATTTCTTACCCTGCAGTGCATGAACAATGCTGATCCTCTATCTTGTTGTCTTTGATGGTGACGGCAACGCGGTTTATCACGCTTACACTGTGACCTGTAAATTTTGGCTTGTAATTTAAGCTTTTCATCGACCTTCTCAACAATAAAATTATGAATATATCCCTCCAATGCGTAGTTTAGGCCCTTTTGGTTAATTGAGCACCAGAAATGTTTATCATACACTGACCTCTGACCTCTGACGTGCACCAGTCATCAGCATCCAAATGAATTTGCGTCATAGTGAGTGGACACAGCCTGAAAGCATCTTAGGCACATTCGTCAGCAAAAAAAGGACCCAAAGACACAATCTACTGGTTTTCACAGGATTTCATCGTCAGGATAGGATGATAAATCATTGAAAAAAATGTACGTACAGTGTGTACAGGATTATGGCTGCCGGCGCCACTGCACACACAGATCAACAATGAAGCAATGTGCCCTTCAAAACCAACGGTAACATGAAACCTAAAGGAGGGAGTTCTGCTCTGGGTTGTCCATGTCTGTATCAATACTGAAATACTTAAATCCAGTCAGCTACTAAACATGGCAATTTTTATATAATTTTGGATTATACAAAAATGTAATATAATCTGAATACATGTAGATTACTTCACAATCAAACATTTAAAAAAATACTGAAAATACACTAAAAAATGGACACAGCCATTAACAATTTAAGTTCCACAAACATTCTCAAAACTTTCAGCAATGTTGAGCTGTTTTCTCACAGATCCACCGCAGATGGATGTCACATGACCGGTCATTCCACTAGGTGTTAGGTCTGATATGTGCACAGTCCTCTTCGCCCCCACTGTGGATCTCTACCACCATTATCAGGCTGCTTCTTCTCTCCCAGTTCTTAACAGGTTAAGAAACAAGAGAATGATGATACTGTAAATCTGTGACACCAACACAGTTCATCAGTGGCACATAATGCTCTTTAGGTTGATGACCGGCGCATCGAGTTTCTGCAGCAAACACTGATCATCAGCTCTGTTACGGCTGAAAAACAGGAAGGACCTCCTTTTATGCTGCGTCTTCTTGAGTATGTAAAGTTTAAATTTGTCAACAAAAGCAGCAGTTCACCCACGTGACAGAAAATATACCTTCTCATTCTCCTATAGTATTATTAACCATGCAAATGTTTTGATCCTTTTATGCCTGATGTCACAATGACGTCATTTTGTTAGCTGGAGGCTAAACACCTCTCCACCACAGGGCTGTAGGCTACATAGGAGTCTGAAAATGTCTTATTGGGGAGCCAGAATAGAAGGAGCCATGGCTCAAAACCAGCCGCCACTGCCTGTCAACAAAAACAAAGATGACTATGGTTAAATGTGATAAGACCAAAGGACTGGACGGAGGCCATCATCAAAAATGCTCACATGTGCAGCGCACACTTCATATCAGGTTAGGGAAAAAGTATTTCCTGTTGTAGAGATGAATAAAGTTATGTGTATTAAGGGTTATCATGTCCACCTCATCAGAAACTGGGGAGGGATTAAGAGGAATATTGGATTTCTCTGCAACGCTAACTTTTTAGCACATTAGCTAACGTTAGCTTCAATAGCAAAACAAACTGGAGGAAACAGTTCAAGTGTGGTCCTCCTTTGAAGATTGGCTTCCTGTGACATCATCCATCCACTGAGTGAGAGCATACGGGTCGGCCAGTCTGGTCCCGTTGGTCAGTGTTTACTTATTCAAGTAACACTGGCGGTCCCGGAGAGTGAGTGACCTGACATGGTGCATTAATAAATTCAGTATGACGCTCTACACTAAAATGAGAGCCCTGTTGGTCGAAGAAACAGAGCGTTATATTTCTACATGGATTAACAAACAGTTAAGTTAATCACACATTCACTCCACTCAGTGCTCTGCTGCTCCGAGAGTGCGGTGCTCTGGATTACCAAATGGTGCATTCAGACAGCGCTCGGAATTTACAAATGGTCCAGTTTGTGTCACAGTCGTTAAAGCACTTGGAATCATTTTCCTCCATTGCCTTAAACAAGCCAAAAGAACTTGCTAGCTAGCGCTGGCTAGTATCTGTGGAGAATTGTTTTGCCTCCAGCTAAGCCCGCCCACCAAAAAACATCATACTGTTTACTTACTGTTTACTACTTTCCCCGTGACTGTCACCATTGAAATAAACTGCACATTGCACAAATTCAAGCAGACTGCAGCCTCTGCGAAATACAGAGCTACAAACTTTATACAGTTACAGTTGTTAAATTATTAATGTTATTATTTAGAAGATAGATTGAAACGTCTGGGCAAATTTCTCCTGGGAGAAATTAATAGAAATTTATCAGCTAAACTGACAATTTAAGAGCAATTTTCAAACAAACTTCTCAGACAAAGGTGTTCTCAAAGTTATGATGACTGACTGCTATTTAAGGGAGCCAGCATCTGATCAATCAGAAAATAAATAAAAGTGACATAAACAATATATTTTCTTTTAGTTATTCTTTTTTAACTGAAAGCTGCAATGTTAGAAAAGCAAAACATTTACATCTTTATTCAACCAAAGGGAGGCCTTACTTCAGAGTCAGTGGAGTTCCATCTATCCATTTCCAGGTTCCTTCCTCATCTCTGTCAGTCAAACCGATCCAAGCAGTTTTCCCGGTGGACACAACAAACGTCTGTTCAACAAAGGTGAAACACACATTAGATTTTAGTTTTAACCACCATGTATGTGTGTGCAGTTTACGATTATTTATCTCAACAAAAAACTTTGTTGTAACTGAATAATCATAAATATCACATAGAAGAAAATACAGTAAGTAAATCCTCTACAGACAATGTGAAAGTCATGTCACACCATAATACTTCAGACATGGGTGCCATTTTGTGACTATAGTGCTGTCATTGTGCCTGCTAAGGTGGTCAAGCACCAGAACTTGGACAAACAAATCACAGCAAACTACACAGATCCGAATTCCAGACCCTGATGCACTACTGTACCTCCACTCACATACCTGGATATTGAAAACTATCTTGTTTTTGGGCTGAGTGCACAGCACATACCACAAAGATGGCCCCCACGTCTCACTAGGCATGACACACCTTCATATTCTCTATAGCAGGCCACCAGGAAGTGCACCGAGCTACGAAGACAATTTTGTGGTATTGTGGAATTACATCCGTCATGTGATGCCAGGTGGCCTAAAAATACTTTTTCCCGTTAACTTACATGGCGACAGAGATGTCTGCAAGTCAGTAGGTACATTTTTTAAGCTCACAAGCTTGTTTCACCACCTGGAATAAATCATTTCGGTCTGATAACAGTTAGAACGTCTAGATCAAATAATTTTATCCCTATTCAGATTTGTGGAGCGCTAAACAGGTAGTAGCTGGCTCAACGGGTGGAAGTCTCTATTTGGCCTGCTACATGGGTCACTATGGGACGATCTTCCAGGTCATGTTACACCCACAAGGTCAACTTTTTTGCTTCATTCTGACTGAGTAACTTTCATAGGAATGAATGTGTCCTGTGAACATGTTTACAGACGTCTCTTTTACAATGGTGGCCTAAGGGGAAAATGCTTTTTGGACCGCAGGGGATTTTTTGCTGCACCACTGCAAGTGGCCACTGGGAAAAATTGGAAGCAAGGCTGAGCAGCATTCCTGTGGACCTGATTCAAGCACACCCGTATTGCAGGGAGACACCGGCTGAGTAATGGCGACTTGTTTACTTCTTGAACTTCCCCAGATTAGTCTGGGTTTTTTTTTTTTTTTTTACATTGTCCACAGTGAGATAGAGCATTTAGAGAGGCATGAATTGACGTGGACTAGCCAGTCATAACATAGCATCAGGCCAGCTCAGACCCGGGTCCAACAACAACACAGCTGTGCTCCATTGACTCTAATGCAGTCATTTCAGATTTCCTTCA